CTCAACAGGACTTAGGATGTGAGTTGAAAAAAGTGCAAAATTGTGTGTAGATGTTATGGACATTTTGGCAGAAAAAAAGGACGCCCAGCAGTAGAGGACGTGGTAAGAAGTTGTGAAAGAGAATGAACATCTCACAGTCTTTTTTCTGCCCCCGCGCCCCCAAAGGTGATACAGAAATTTTCCTAAACAGATAGTCATTCTGGTCTTTTGTGATCATGTGCAAACTTGTTCCATTCATAAAGTTTCCTTCTCTCCTCTTTTTACAGCCCTTCGTCGGTGTTGAAGGAAAATTATGCTTTTTTTGCCTATTTACCACTTGATTGATAACATCCGCCATCATTTCAGCTACTTTGGCCATTTTTGCCGTCTCCGGGAGGTGGAGTGCAAAAACTTTGCATACAAGGACTCGGCGCCATACTTCTCGCTATCCAAACACACACAGATTTCACGGTGAGCTCTTCCAAGTATGCAGACCACCTCATTTCCGTGTTTTCGGAAAAAAAGACACACACCTCCAGTTCGGGAAGGGAAGCGATCAAGGTGATGATGGACCTGAGAGAGGCGTGGCAACGCGAAATGTGCAGAAAGGGTGACATTTATGCATATTATCCCGTGAATTAGATAAATATATAGAAAATTGCACGCAAATTGTGCACAATTTCGCATCTACTTCCCCTAACAAATTGATTTCAATCGCTCTCATAATTCCAGCTCATCTCTTATTCGCCGTCTGGGCTGAAGTGTGTGAATGAAAGGGAACTCATCGCGCTTCAACTCGTTCATGATCTCACGAATAATGTGAAGAAATGCATGACTGAGTGAAAAGGGAGAGTTAAATGCCCCATCGATCGTGTTCGATGCAAGGATGAAATTTGTCTCATCAATGCGGCTCCAATCGGCAAAGTCATATTTGCCGGATGATGGCTGGAAACAATGAACGTGCTACTTATTCACTCATATGCCCTCACCCTAATCGGCATATTCCTTCAGTTATTATATTATGCGATGGGCATAAATGTTGTATTCGCATATTATAAGATCCGCGCATGCAAGTCACGATCATTACTGATCTGCAGCAACAACAATTATTTCAATCGATATAATTCAAAAGCAGCAGCTCCACACAGCTCTCGTAACTCAATTCGTCTGGCAAATACATCAAGATAAAACGGATACCAGAGAGCAAATAAATATATCCGAATGGAAATGAGACAGAAGGAATGAAGGTCCAATTACACTAATTACACCACGTCCTTGCTCCAAGACCTAATTAGTGTGCATAAGCCTCACCTTTGCATGGGTCAGTCAATGGCCATTGCACCGTGCAACTCGCGGATCTCTTTGCCTTTTGACTGCCTCCCATTGGAACTTTCGTTTGTGTGAAGGACCCGCGGCGGTGCGCTAAGTGTGAGAGATTTTTCAATTTTGGATGCCTCGCACAATTCATATTCTTCATTTTCATGCAATGGCAATTGTGGAAATTCGCAAATACAATCTCGTGCTGCTGCACTGCGCCAAGGAGGAGATATTCAACAGTGAACAATTATTTGTCGTAGTGAAAACAATTTCCACACATTCTGCTGTCTAAGACAAATGTGTATTTCCACAATTTCTGTGGAGAATCACAGACTCTTCCAGAACTTTGGCAGTGCTTAAAAAATGTGTTTTTCTTCTCATTTTTCGCAACTGCATAGATTTTTCCAACCTCAAATTTAGGAGTTTTTATCTTAAAAAAACGCAATTTTTACTCTTATGACCCTGAAAATCCCAAAGTTTTGCGTTAATTTACATTGAAAACACTCCTACAACACTTCTGCTGAGCACAATATCCCCCCTTGATCTACATACAATATCCTGAATTGCTTGTACCAAGATATTCTTCCCCTGGCCGGCATATTTTCTGCTGCTCGAATCTCGCACTGATCGCATTTCGCGAAAGACATGCTGCCGCCCAAGAAGTCGCCAGCCGCCAAACCGAATGTTGGACGTAACGCGTTAATTAGCACACCGTCGAGAGACGGCGAATATCGCGACGAGGAGCGCGGCACGGTATCGGATATCAAATAGGAATGACAGTCAAACTATTGTGATATTTTAATATTGATGTACCCACCAGCGAGACTCTTAATCGCTCTATTGCCACCGCGGATGCCGCGTCAAAATTAAAAATTCAACGTGTGGAATTGAGAATGGATGAGACCCAAATATTTCGTCTCCATTTCGTGGCCCCTTTTACTCATTTCACGAGCGGGGTGAAAGAAAAAAACAGACCGAATCACTCGATGGGACCTCGAAAGGCAGGCCCGATCCGGACCGCATTCCGAAAAAAATCGGCAAAAATTTATTTTAGATGGAGGCGCCGTGTACTTTGCAGAAAATCCAATTTCTTCGCAGCAAATAAATGATTTATGGCCACAGAAACGTGGTGTTTTTGCCGGTGAGGGCAAAAAGAAGCAATTTTACCTCGACGTCTGCTCGAATTTCTCAATGACTGTGACTCGGGACGCCACAAAATAGAAGTGCATAAGTGTATCTTCTCATAGACCACGGGTGCTTTTTTGCCCACAACAGCTTTATAGATAAAATTCAAATTACCGTGGAGAGGAGATGATGCCTTCGTGGGGTCAGTTATTCGAGGGAAATCTGTACTGGAGTTTTAATAAGCGATTGTCAAATGGAGAAAGTCGCAAAGCGATCATATCCTGTTTTCTCTTCAAAAATCACACAACAGAAAAAGATGTTTCAAGAAAAGTGTCGAAATTCACCGGCGATACTTAGCTCAGTTCTGTACTGTGCAATCACCGCTGGTTTGCCCTCGACTTCTAGACCTTTGGAAGGTTCTGCAGCACGGCGTTCACGCTGTGTGGGTAGCACAAGTCTACAATCTCTAATAGCCCGCGAGGATCAAATAAATTAACCAAATAAGTTTGCAGCTCATCCCGCGAGGGGCAAAAAGAGGCCCAAAGAGCCCATTGCTGTGGAAAATCGAGACGAATATTCGCATGAATGAATCACAATCTTGTGATCAAAGTGGAGTTGTGGTGGATATGGAAGCTCTGATTTCTTAGCCTCTTCTGCGCACTCTTCGCATGGTCATATACCCACAAGGCTTTTGTTGGCTCGGGAACAGATAAAAGCCAAGCAAAAAAGGTGATTCTGAGTGTTGGCAAAAACTACCCGCCATGTTATTAACTTATTTATAACTAACAAGCGCGGTTTCTCACAGCTATTAAGATCTTTTTTCGGATAAAATCCGCGCGGCATTGATGTAGGCCACAGAGGCGGGATTCTGGATGGTTACAAGTTGAACTATTTAGTGGCGATGGGGATCACAATATACTAATATATGCCCACTAACGCTGTAATCCTGGAGGGACGATCCCAGATCGGCGGTGGTGAGGCCGAGGGGACTTTGCACGAGCCACTATGAAATGATGAAAAATCGACCATCATTGTTTGTTAAACATACAACATCAACATCAGACTCTTTGTCATGATTGTCTCCCGGGCGAGATGTTGTCTTTTTGCCCCCGCGAGGGACACGATCCCCCTCGGGATCTAAGCGGCGACGGTGTTTTGCGCGGGAAGTGAATAACATTTTCCACGATCAAACGGACGAAACCGCAAATGCATGTTTTCGGGTTGTTGCTACAAAATTCCATTTTGTATTCAAATCAAAATCCGTGCGATGTTCTCAGGTTCTAGAGCGCGGCACGTATCGTTGGTACCAAAGAACAAAAAAAACTGCCACCCGACGAAATTTTTATACGAAACGTTTAAATAAATAAATTGGAGTCCGCGATGATGTAACGTAATTTATTGAAAACTTCTTCAGACTCTATAAATTATTTGACACACCGAAGAATTGGAGGAGGGCCTCATTTTGTGGGATTCGTTTTTATGCCTGCGCCAGAAATCACCTCAAGACTACACCATCTAATTCGCGAGGAGCCCCATCGGCCGCTCATTTTTTTCTCCATTGTATATGCCGAGGAAACAGCGCAACAATTAGCGAATAAAGCTCCTAACATTAAGAAAGACCGACATTTAGGCATGTCTATGCCGACTGATGCTTGTCTTTTTTGATTCGCCAACAGCCTCGTGATCTCGTGGTGAGATGAAAAGTGGGATATGATGAGAAACTAGTAAACGCCGGAAACGAAGTGAATTCCAGACTATCGATATGAATACGGCGCGAAGATAGCGCCAGCGCCTTGTTAACGAGCCCTTCATGGTTCACCCAGAGGAGCCCCCAAAATTAAATCTGAGAAGAGAAGCTGCTACTTACCGTAAAACACCCGCCGCCGCAGTTAACACCGCAAGAACCGTGGAGATTCGCCTCGAGAAATTCACACTGTGGCTCAGTTGCGCTGCCTCAGAAGTCCGACTTGATTAGAATGCGTGAAATCCAGCCAAGACGTTTCACACATGTGATTATTTCCCGACTCTTTATCGAAAGCAATAGCATTTGGACTGCGCCACGTTGTATTTCATCGCGATAGCACAAAGAATAGGGAGCGACACCCAAAAAAGAAAAGGGAGTAAAATATTGTTCAATGGGGGTATTAAAGAAGGTGAAAAAGGGAAACGACGAGAGCGCGAGAGACTCCCAAAAATAGTGTTAAGTCCTATCAAAATATCTTGTCCGTAGATCAGTGGAACGTGCAGAGGCACTATTCCGAGGATCTTGTTAGCGCTCCCTTCTCCACCATTTGCATTCCTTGCTCAGTGTCTCGCGCGCTCGCCAACAATTGCCCGAAAATACCACCGCGCAAGATTTGTGGGCCAGCGATTTGAATACACATCAGATAAACGCCCAATAGTGCCCGAGTCGCCCAAATTGCCGGCAAATATTTCAATTTTCGACCTGTAATTAACAAAACTCAGGTATTTCCTCGACGAAGGCGGACGCCAAAGAGGATGAGATGAAAGAGATTCCAGACTATGAAAATACCCGAGAGACCGTGAATGAGTCTAGTCGTTGCCTTCATTCATGTTCTCAATTGCACTGGTCAAAAATTGCGTGTAATTTCATTCAACACCGGCTTCGGTACTGCATCGGAGGCTGCTCAAATGACAGCCCTGCAAATTCCGCGCTCGCCTCATTAGGCCCTTTATCGGGGAACTCATTGGATTACGGATTAGGTTTTTTTCTTCCCCAATAAAATGGATTAAGTTTCTCGACAGAGGCTGCCGATTCCTGGCATCTGCCCTGTGTAATTTGCCACAACAAGGCAATGGGATCAAGACATGATCTCAGCAGAGATATTCCGTGGGCTCCGCACCATCTGCAAATAGAGTTTCAGGGTAGTGAATTGAATTGATGAAGTAAGTGAATATTGCGGATAACAAGTTAATTACACAGTAAAACTACTATAATATGATCTGTCTTCATCTAAATTGTTTCTATCCTCAAAATCTAATTCCTCTTCACATTATTGACATTCATAGCATTCTTATAATATTACGTACTAGATATTGGAAAAATTCCAGTGGACTTACAGCAAATGCGTACGAGTTAAGAAGTATTTTAGAAAGGTGAGAGAATAAAGGTGTGCTGTTTTAAGTTGTGTCAAAGGACGCGCAGTCAATGGACAAAAGGATGCCACCTCTGAGGGTTCCCACATTGTACTCGAGGAGTCCTTTTGTGCCCCCTGACACTGAATCTGGAGAATGACTGAGCAGAGATCTGGCGCCAAATGGGCGAGCGTTCTGAAAGATGTCTCTGGGAATTGACCTGAAAAAAAGTGACCATATGAATAAAAATCTTAATACCCTTTGAATTCGGCACCGACATTTCGATATTTCTTTGAATTTATCCACATTTCTTTCACACTTTGAGTGGCATAAATGAAAATAGCACTCCTTCAACTGGCCCCGGGCCGAGTGTCCAACTGAGAGGAGGGTCCTTTTTTCGGCACCAAAACATCACTCGGGATTCATCTTGTGAAGGAATGTGGGACTTTTTGTCCGGATTTCACCATGTAATAGTTGTGTTTTGTCATGTTCATTCACGTCGGAGGCTAGAGAGCTTCCATAAGATTCCATTCACAGCGAGGGAAAAGTTCATATTTGTAAATATTATGGTGGCGACCACAGATATTGAGAGCACGTGTTGCAGTGACAATAAAAAGCCAAATGACGATCATTATATGCGGTGTAGGATTATATGATTATATTGCCATTCTCACCAGATCCACCAACACAGAGCGCCAATTTAGTGTGGCTGGCATCTGATAAAAGCAGAGGGCTTCCGACGGTGGTCGAGTCTCGGACATAATTAATTGTCGATCCTAAAATTGTTGAGGTTCTTGTTTTACAAAATACTCAACAAGTTTTTTGCCCGCAACATTCACTCCCCGAAGAAGTTGGGAATTTATTTTTATTGGCGTTGATTGAATGCCAAGAGCCCGACGCAGGCATTGACTAAGTCTGGTGAAATAGTGATTGAGACATTAAATGTGGTTCCAGACCACTGGTATGCCACATACTCATAATTTCTTTTTATTGCTCATCATATATCAGTGGTGGATAGAGTGAAAAAGCACACTTTCACGGCGGACCGTCGATGAGATCGGGAGATGCAGCGCTCTTGCGTGGAGTTATGTCATCCGATTGAGATACAATCTGGCCGGGACGATCATTCAAGAGCCGGAGACGGAGAGCCACGCCAGGAGCAATAGAATTGTAGATGAAAGTTTGTTGTTTGGATGGCCAGGTAAAATGGATAATTTATTCAAGTGTCTCACCCGTAAAGTGGTCAATTTGTATGCAACGAGCGGCGCTCCTCTGATGCCCCATCACTTGGTGGGTGTTTTCGAGCTTCTGACGATCAAGACATCGAGTGACTACTTGAGCTCGAGGGGTTGCACTTGTTCGACCATAAAATTTCTTAATTTTAATTTCACACGAGAAAAGAACGAAGAACATAATCCCGTGTGGTCAATTTAATCATCTCATCATCCTCAGATACTTTCGAACCAGCAATCAGACAACCGAAAGTGATTCTTTGTTCGTTTCTCAAGGTGAGGAATTCCACATTTAAAATATAGCTGGAAAGAGCATTTCAGCAGGAAATTACCACCTAGCGCGAAAGAATTGCTGAAATACTTCTAGCAGCAGTTTCAGTCAATCATGAAATTATGAAAGAAGACACAGACGCCAACGCGCCTGACATATATTCGTACATAACACTGATACAGTGTGTGTTATCCTGGGAAGAACAGCATACATGATAAAAGTATTGTTTGTACGAATCAGTTAATTTATGGATTGTCTTTCCAATGAAATTCATAACGAATTTATGTGGATATTTTACTCATATGAGTTCGAAATCTATCTAAACAAAGCCACCCAAAAATTCAGCCAGAACAGATATCCCAAAATAGACGTTTTCCACACAATAACTTAATCTTTGACCTTTACCTTTCCTCAACTCCACTGCAATGCGAAGTGAGCATGTCTGCAGACACTTGTTGCCATTTCTTGAAATAGAAACTTCCCACTTTATATATCGGGTTGCGTGTACATAAGCTCCTATTCACACAAAATAATAAAGATGGGGCAGAGTATATGAGTGTTCTATAAATGGGTTTTATCAATGGAGCTGTTATCGTGAAACGAATGCCAGCACGGGAGCTTCATCGCCAGATATGCGCAGTGTTGAAGGCGATGGCAAAGGTGGGAACCGCCCGAAAATCGGGCGGAGCATTCAATCCGACAATTAAGTCGATGTCCTTTTGCTCTATCAGTCGCTGCTGTGCTCTGGTGGGCAAGCACCGAGCACCCACGCAGCACGTGGGTGATCTTAGGCACAGAAGGACGGACTTGGTGTTGAGATTCAATGGCCGAAGTGTCCTTCCTGCTCAAATGATCAATATTTGCCGAAAATCATTCACAGGCAATTTCACGCTGAGTCTCACAAGGGCGACTAAAATGCTGAGGACCTCAGGAAGATGGAATTATGATTGTTAAACACTCCATTGAGAATCATTCCGGTGAGGCTTTGTGAGAATATTTGCAGAAACATGGCCACTTCCCTTCCAATTAACTTTAACGTAGGAGGTCGATTCCTCTGCAGCTCCTTTTTGTCCATGGGCTCTTCTTGGCGTTGCTTTCGGGCCAACAATCACTGCCTGAAAGGAATGAGAATAAAACACAGTTTAACATCTCAATCATCTTGTCTATTGAGCTGCAGTGACTACAGAAATCCGGACAGTTCCCTTTTCATATGAATTAATGGGGATTTTTCCCCTCTGGAGAGCATCACAAGAGACCTCTCCAACTGCGGTGGGCTTCTGTGTGCGGGAGGTCGCTGGTAAATCATTAAACACTACCTTTTTCTCTCCCAACAATTCAGTGCTTTCCACGTGGACTCTGCAGCTGCTGCTCAATATGTTATTCAGATAACAACCCTACTAAATGCTCCACATAATTATCAAAACACATTGGTTATCACAATATGTATTTGGGCTATCTCTTCAGGAAGTGTGAGATGAGGTCTGAAAGAGTGCCTTTGGTGTCCTTCCACACTCCTTCTGTCACACACGGTGGGCCAATTGAAGTGAATTGACTTTGAACACATGGCAAAATGCACAGCAGCGTCAGCTATTTTCGCAGCTCAAGCGCTTCGTCCTGTGCATTCTCTCAAGGTCCTGCAACACCTCAATTTGAAATAATGTTTTTACGGTTAGCAGAGGCGATTTCACAGCAGCATAAAAAAGGTGACATGAAAATCTCCAGGAGGATATGTTTAAAAGTGGTGAACGAAGGCAGAAAAGAGCCTGAGAGACCCGAGTTATATGGCCAAAGAGAGAAGGCGCACAGCAAGGTGCCTTCAAAAGGGAAGATAAGTATTCATATGGATAATTGTCATGAAAAATGTGTGCCCAACTTTGATTTTACCGGCTTGCATTGTGTCTCCAATCCCTCACAAACTGAGGAAAGACCTACCATAGGGAGGAAAAATTGGTCACATTGACAGGCATGCATGAAACATTATTAAAAACACCCAATAGGAAATGTCTTCGTCGTGCAATCCTTCTTTGGTACTCAAAACTCTATGACAGAGTGAATTCAGTCACGGATTACGAAGCTTGTCAAATACCAAAATATCTTTATTGTGGACATTATTTGAGAATGAAGATTCAATTAAGTAATGTGATATATTATTAAATTTCACAACATGGTGTAATAAAACGAGTTCGTTGCACTTCCTCAGTACACTGATAACGCAGACATTCTTTCAAAACTGGTGAGCATTTTTCATACTATATTTATATTGACAAGTAATACATTTATTTATTTTTATAAAATTGATAAGACTCTGGCAGTTTAACCCTTATAGAAAAGCGGCATGAACTGAGATAAAAGCAATATTTGGAGTTCCTCCGCTGTAGTTTATGGCATTGTAAAACAAACCCATATTTCCATCAATAAATCAAATAAATTGTTCGTGAAGCGTGACATTGAAACTGAAGTAAATATTTATGGGCACCTCATTAGTTCGTCCTTAAGGATTTTTCACACACCACCAGCGATCTTCTGTCACTCAAAGCTCTAGAGTTTTTTTTACCTCTCCCGATGTGTAATCTATTCTTCAGCTGCAAAAGTTGTTTTGGTTCTTATAATTAAGATAAGTGAATCAATCATTGACTATAATGACTCATTGCCGACATCAAAAGCTCACAACATACAATGTATAAACATGCCTCATGGGGACGGCTTGAAATTAAATAAAAGCTGGCACATGACAGACAAGCAATTGTACATGCATAAGAATAATTGCAATAATCTCTTTGGCACTTTCTATCGCCACGAAAAAAGACTTCATCAATCTAATCCAAATGCTTTATTGCTAAGTAAGCTGAAAAAAATACGCTTAAAACATCTGCTTATCGACAATTACTCAACCTCGAGTCTTCGCAGCACAATTCTTGGTGAAATAATTTTGTTATGAGGAGGATAAGTGTAAAGAATAAGCACTCCATAAATTGGCATTGTTTATGCATGTTCACGATTTGCCGCATTTGCATTCGAGCAGGGATTCTTTTCACTAATGCTATAATTTTCATTTTATTCTTCACATATGTATGCGCCAGCGAGAGATGTAACACAAGTTAAACATATTATCGACGACTGAAAAATTGCTCATTACGCACTTGAGAATACTTTATGCTGTGGAATAAGCGCAAGAACTTCTCTTCACTCTGCAGATTTCTGGGTGACTTCAATTGATTCTCTAGCGTATCTATTATATGTATATGAGTTTGCAGATGAGCAGCTTTCGAAGCACATCGAAGCTCGGGAGGATATTCTATTTACTGTGCACTAAATTAATTTAATTGCACATTTATTTGGCTCTATCTCATCTCTGTTATTGATATAATACATCTCTTCCAAATTAATTTGTCGCCACGCTATAGTGGCATATATCAACGAGCCATTAAATTTATGAGATTACAGAGTCAACAAAAAAACACTCACAAATATCTCTACATTATCCACAGAGTGTCGAAGTGATAATGATTAGTAAGTCAATCGAGATATTCATGTTTAAAATCCCATTACCATATTCTTAATATGCTTTTCAACACATTTCAGCTGAGGCGACAAAAAAGCCTCGAGAGAGCGAGAGAGCCGGGAATTGTACAAACAAACTATCCACTCCACATACATTATAGTATGGCTTTTTGGTAAGTGTGTAAAAAGTGGCATTATGGATGAAACCCAATCAAAATATTAACCAATTTCATAGCACGGGTGTCTTGCACAGTGTGGAAAAAGCTCCATTTATTTATGGAATATTGTTATGGTAATATGAAGTGCCAGTTTGATGCTTTTATAATTTTATTGTGTCCATGATTTTTTATAGCTAATGGTGTGTGAGACTCCTTGGTCGCTGGATTTGACTGTCGGCTCTCCTTTGTCCGGTAGTTTTTCACATTCTGCTCTTCTCACCGGCCACACAAAAAATTCCCGTAAAACTTTGTGTCTGAGGCCCGGCGTGTCTTCCCCGCGAAACTTGTTCGACGGTCTGAAAAATTAAATGGCATTTTATTGTTATATTCTACATGTTATTATAACTGTCTCACTCAGACCTGCCACGGAAAAAATTTAATTACTTTTTTCCACACCAAAAATGCATGAGCAGCTCATTCGTGAGGTCATCAAACGTCCAAATCTATGGTTAAGCGTTCCCACCATTTCTGAAATTAAATAGATATGCTCGGTTAGTGATACAGATAATACCGATATTACCCTCGAGTGTTGAATACTTTCTTAGCGGATATTTTGACTGGAAAATTGAGTGCAAGAAAGACTATTTATTTATTTATCAGTTACGATAATTCCTTGAATTGATGAAGAAACAAATGCCAAAGTGTTTTAATTAGAAGAAAAATAAGAACATATTTATTTAGACTTGTTTTTCTTTACATTGGATTATAGATAAGTCTTTCACAAACGCGAATACGTTTCAGATGCGTGGATGAATGCACAATGATCCACATTTACTCGATGCATCTCGGGTTCTATGGCATTGATAAAACATTATGGCCACATTTTAGAAACGTCTCAATATGGACTATCAAAGTATCTAAAAAATTCATTCAAAACATTTTGACTGATATACAGTAGAGGCCGGTAAAGGCGTGAACTTTGACCCCCTATATCTCTCCTCCTATCATTTTAATCTTCATGAATGTGGATTCGTTGGAAAGGTCTCGACCTCAGCTACAACATACTCAAATTTAAAGAAAATGCACAGTCTGGTTTTCAAGTTATTCGATTTTGAAAATGTTTTTTTCGACTTTAGCCCCTTTAGCGGTGCTCCTACCAAGTTATGATGTTTGAGTGGGAGATAGAATTTTACGACATCTATCTAATGAGCTTAAAACTATTTAAATCGGATAATTATAATTGGAGTTATAGCCATTTTAAATGCTAAAGTGTTTTCATTAGAAGAAGAATCAAAATATATTTATTAACACTCGAGTCTCTTTACATTTTATTATAGATAAGTCTCCGATAAGCGGCGGCTACCGCCATCATTCACAACTGAATATAAATAAACAACATGCCTACAATGCGTGGATTAATGTACATGATCAATATTTATTCGATGCATCTATCAATAAAACTAATAATTGGAATTGATATGTTAAAAATTTAGCGTCTTTTGCAATCGGCGCATCTTTAATCAGAATTTTATGAGCCGCCAATGACACCATTAAGCGTCACATTGACGTGATAGTGGACAAAAATCACAGTTCTGTGACCGCTGACAAGGAGACCCATAAAATGCTAAAGTACAATGGGAAAATGTGGAGGAAACTGTAGCGTGAAATCCTAATGAAATGCCTCCAAATATACACGGATTGCTTGCGCAAGAACCAAATATTGGACACACGTTTCAATTAGCGAAGAGAATAGTTGTAAAAAATTAACCGCGCAATTAAATTACTTCAATTGTCGCCTATGTACGTCAGTCTGAAATGGATGATGTAAAAAGCATTTGAAGCTGGATGAGGAGTGAATGAGATTTTGTGTGAATGAAAGTGTCAGTTTGAACTGAGAGACGCCTTTGTTGGCCCCAGGATGGAGAGTGAGCCCAAATAAAATCGCGGCAAATCTCATGGCATGATGGAGATGAGGAAGCCCCATAGTGAGTTGAAGTCAAATCTCTGAAAATCCTTCATTTATCACGACATCGGATCAGGCGAGACGAGAGGCGGAAATATAATTCACCGTCGTGAAAAGTTTTCGATATTGATCATCGCTCCTTTGGCCACAAGAAACACCGAACATTATGAATATTAACATCATTTTTTAGTAATGAAACACCCCAGAAAAAAAAGCTAGAAAATAGCTTAGAGATGTGTCAGATTTTCTTTTAATGCTCAAACATTGCGACGATCTTCTCCGCCTGATAATGATCTTGTGGTATTTCACTCGCTTCCCTGTGACTCTCCTCAACATGAGAATGGATCATTTGCTCCCGAAAGAGGCCCGAAAAGAGACGCGGGTTCAGAGACTTTCGGTTGGAATTCTAAAGCGATAATTGTAAATTAACACGGTTACATGATTCACCCAAAAGTTATATGTTAATAATTCAAGCTCAATTTGCCCGTGACAATGAGCATACATTGTAATACATTTAAATAATCTGCAGAATAATGATAATTCCGTCTGTGAACACCGTTAAGGTGATTTTAATGTTCGCAAATCGTTGAATTTTGTTAATTTAATATTTTTTACGACCTCACACAAACCCCCCAATGAAGCACTCTGTCTTTGTAGTCGGAATATTGAAGAGCATCATTTAAATATTCAGCTCGACATACATATACATATGGTGTAATTCTTTGACTGGGTAGAATAAAGGAGAGATGGAAAAAAGTATAAAATTCAAAAAGAAAAATTCACTCAAGAGATCAAAAAGTCCAAATTTTCGGGTCTGCGCGTCGACAAGAACAAGGTAAAAACCAATAAAAATATCCCCATTATATGCTCCATAATCGTCACGTGTTCGGCATGTCATTTATTTTAATTATTTTTTTCCAGGCTACAATATTCATTGTTAAGCGCTTCTTTCACTATCTCTCTTGGTACAATTTCACCTTGTTTTCCCATTTTCATGGGAATGTGCGGAGAAATTTCAGGGGTTGTCCATTAACAGCATTGCAATCCATCCTCTCAGAGTGAGAACGATTTGTGAAATAGACACAAAATGAAGGTAGCGAAAAGGAGAATTTATGTAGCTTGCAACGAGTAGTCGCTGAGAAACAATAAATCTGTGTAATAATTTAGAAGCATTTTATTATGTTCCAGGTTCACTCGGACATTCCTTCAGCGATGACGCTCCCCTGGCCAGGACGGATTGTGCTCCCATGTGACATCCAGAGAATTTATCTGTGTACACACGGTGAGCAGCGAACGGGGTGGTAAAATGAGCGACGCGGCGATGTGTGTGGGAAATGGGCAGCAATGAGGCTGCAAATGCTACATAAACATCAAAGAGGCGCAAATGAGTTACAGCCGCTCGGCGATTTATTGGAAATGCAAGAGTTTTGTCAGTTGTTGTCATTAACTGCCTCTTGGGCAGCGGAGTGCCCTCTTGGGCAACTGCGAACCGCGCCAATAGTGTTCGCACCACAAAGTCGCATTTGACAGTGTCGCCCTTTTTCCAGCTCTCCCAGCCAATATAATATCTCTATGGCTCCGGTCTTGTAAATCGCAGCCACAACAGCGTGTTAGCAAGCCTTCATCGCTAGCACCATCGTCGTTTTGCTCTTGTGCCGTCACACATGGCTCGCAGGAACTCTTCTCTCGACAAGAGCTGAAGACTGCGGGTAGCCGCCAAATCTTGATTCTCCTCTCGAATTCCATCGGGTGCCCCCAGGCGAGGAGGACCACGGAGGCGGACGCTGTCATCCTCTTCGGCTGCCGTTCCGTTTGATCAGGATCATGCCATTCCCACTATGCTCAGTCTCCCCCGGGGACCCGGGACAGGGGACGGCCCGGCGATGAGGGTGCTGCTACTCTTGCAACGTGTTGGCAGATTTTTGTGAATTTGCATGTCTCGATCTCTGGCGGTGCACCAGGTATTTCCCACCCTATGTTTGGCCCGTGGCACGATTTATTCAGTGTGGTGACAAGACAGATATACATTTTGTTGCGCGAACAGCAAAAATATATCATAAAGGGCCGAAAAGCTTGCGGCGACTGTGATTCTCCAATGTGACACGGAATCACTTCTCACATTCGAGAGACTCTCCACTCCAGTGCTCAGCAAGCTGCAATATCTGTGACTTCTCGGCCATGCTGATGATCCGCGAATTGTGGCTCGAAAATATTTTATGTGCTGGTGTGCCCTGAAACCCCTCGGAGCAATAATACACACAAAATGCCCAACTAATCACAGCAAATGATCACTGGAGGCTTCTCTTCTCCTTCTCATTCTCTCGGGGCGATAAGAGTGCTCATATTTTCATGTAGCATCGCAGCAATGTGAAATTCGAGTGGACAAGTCGTGACAACATTCCTCCCCAAATCCCACCCAGCTTTCAATAAGCCAGAAGAAATGAAAAGTGTTTTATTACACATGCAACAATCGACGTGATTATTATCGTAAATAAAATAATAGTATGAACAATCTCACGCCGTCTCTCCACTCAACATTACACATATCAAAACAATTATTTCCCATGTGAAAGCACAAAAAAGGTGTCAAATAAAACGCCTGTGTTCGGCAAATCATTGAGAGTCTCGCTAGATCATTACTCTCATGGATTTTTGCTGTATCAACTTAACTGGAGAAGCACGACTCGATGGTATATTTGAAGAGTGATCAATCAAAAAGTGTGAGATAAAAATACTTAGATGAAAAATGTAGCAAAGTGACAGATATTTTATTTTTGAGTCGATGATCAGGCATTAGATAATTTCTAAGGAAAATGTATGTAATAATGTTGCAAATGGGGAGCTTTGGCTTATCATATCAGCGGAGATTATATACAAATATCGAAATGCGGTCAGTGCTGCGGATATCCGGAGTTTCCTCAGTGGAAGAGCATAACTCATATAGTGGAGTGTATAAAGAGATTCGATGCGCGATATGAAATATTCCAATAATTGCTGATAAGACGCGATGTGACTAAGCTGAGTGTGTGTGTTTGGACGCTCGCACGCGGTCAGGGCGAAAATAGAGGATGACTGCATGTGTTTTCTCAGGCATTCGACCAAAGGTGGGGAAAGAGTCTTACGGGGGGATTATATATATTGTTTAATAGATCACCACTCTTCCCTCATGTTGTGATCAAACTTGCACGTACGAAAGTATGATAAAAGACGCTGCAGTCCGCGAAGGTGATGATAAATGGGTTAGGCATTTCGGACACGGTGTTATTATAGGAAGAAGGGGGAGAGCATGCAGAATATTCATCGCGGCAGCAAGCAAATCATCAAGACATCGCCCCTCTGCAACAATAAAACATCAACAAATGACGCGGGAGCATTTACAAAATTGGGAATCGCCCGAGAATAATTTCAGCGTGCTTGTTATCGTCTCTGAAGAAGCGCCGCCACGTTCGACAATAAAGGGCTCACTGCTCTCAAAGTAAGTGGCAGATAATTGCATACTCAATCCTCATCCTTACCATCGGCTTCGTGTCCGCCAGTTCGCACTTCCAGGCATTGGCAAAGAGGCGACCAAATATGCCGCCGACGACGTTGCTCATCGATGACGAACGCCCGTGTGCTCCACTTGAGTTGCTCCTTATCTGCAGAACAAAACGAAAACAGCACTGTTTCAGACTCTCGTAGTTCCGCACCGCGACATCCCATTGCCTCTTCAACTATGCAAAATATTGATATGCATTTGAAGAGAATAATGACTCTACGTTGAGTTCAATCACGTCGTTAGAGCAGAAAAAATGTTTCTATCGACGTGATTGAATAAGAGTGATTATTTTGTCACTTAAACTGCATTATTGAATTAAGTGGAATGAGTAAATTATATTAACAGACCACCTGTCAATTGGAATGTTGACTAACATGACAACAACTTCATAATTGTCCGCCAGGAGTTTCCTTTTTACATTTAAATTTATCACAAAAAATATTCATATGACGTAGGTTTTTGGAAATTCTTTAACAATTGAGCAATAGGTAACATTAAAGCAAATATTTCTAGGAATGCTAAGAAAGAAATTTTTGCGGGTCATTCAAGTGCGTTGGTAATTTGATATTCATATGAAATTATCATGGTAAGACGTGTGACTTTGTGCAAAAGCGAATCTTTGCTGTCTATCAGATGGAGAAAGGCTTCAGTATTTATCATCTATTATTGCACACAATACTAAATATTCATGATAAAAATATTTAATTTCAAAGTGAAATGGCAAATTGGAAAAGAATTCAACTTGTTCGTCTTATCTGACAACGCTTATCACATTCCGCGGGTCCAACTATTCAGTGTGTCACAGTGTAGCAGTTTCAGGGTCTCGTGCGGCCTGTCCAAACATAGTATTAGTGAGCCACCTTGCAAATAGATCATTAATTTGTGTGACACCACAAATTGCGGTGCAATTTGTCAGAAATGGCGATGATATAATTACGAAAGTGAAAGAATTGTGTTTCACAAAGCTCATCTCCGAATGACTCTGCTTTTCCGTTTACTCAACACTTAGCATATCTATGCAAAAGGTACGTTCGCAGATGTAACCCGGAATATCCCACACTATCATCGAACCGCAAAGCGCTTATTTGGACAATGCCATCACGAATATGTCTATTATTAGAGAGACTCGCGAGCAAGACGTCACCGATCGCCGTGCGGCTGATAACGCCAAAATCGCGTCTTGCGGCAATGTTGGCGGCTATGCTGGGCCAACATTGCTCGGCATATGATTAATCGAGTCAATCAAACGATGACGTCACAGCGCGGAGGCACCGTTGTGTGACATAGATATCTAACATGCTCACTCTCGGTCCCACACACGCGCTCGGATATGCATATAAGACGCCACTCTGTAAATATTTCAATCTGGCGACCGTGACGTAACTTTATGAAAGTACATTGGGTGTTTGGATTCTTCAAAATCATCAGTCAATTCCGGGAATGAGAACACAATTCTCGTCTGACTCACTTCGAACGACGACCGCGTGCAATAATTAGGCAAACTTCCTCCCAATTCAATCTCACTTCTCTCATCGTCTCACCAATTCAACGGCACATGTGGACACTTGGGAGGCACGAAAAAAAGCATACGAAATTACACAAAAATCTGCATATGGACTTATTTATATTCAATACCGTATAGTGACAGCAATTAAGTTCGATGGCTTCTCCGCGGCGATCTTGAAATATGATCTCAAACGATCAATAACTCAGTCCCACGACGAGTTGATTATTTCAAATTAACTTTTAAACCTTTTTAACGAGATTTTGTAATCTAAATTGCACTTTAAGCCAATATTGCAGTTGAAGTGTTTTCTTTTTGTGACAAGTGTCGATGCTTCACTTGATCGATGTGAAGAACATTAATCGATGAAAGGTGAAAAACTTCGTGGAAACCAGTTGTTCGCAAAATGCTTCACACAGAATATTTTAGGCACATGAAGAATACCTCTTCATAATCACTTATCATGCCGCAATTAGCAAAATATATTACATTTAGACTTGCATCATCAATTCATGTCATTCAAGTAATCGAGATATTTTATTCCTGATATATAAACAAGGATATAAATGTGTCAGATATTGCAATAGATATTATGGCCAATAAATATCTCAGAACTCTCAACACATAAGTCATAAATACCTTTCAATTCTTACGCGCTTAGCGAAATTATCAATATCATTGAAGATCGACACAGGAATTTATTCCCCGTAATGTCGCTATTTTAATGAAATTGAGCCAATTTAGGAGGTTTTTCCATTCAATATCTCTTCATTGATAAAATTCTAAGATTAAATTCTAAAACATCATTGGGTATTACGAAATCATAATTTATTTGATACTCACGAAAGCCGCAAGAAAATATTTTTGTCTTGATCCCGTCATGTGAAGTACGCTGTTATGAGACTGTTGACTTTGATAAGCAAACACTTTCTCCAATAATGGTTGATAAAACAGTCAGTTTTTGCATTCTTTGGGCCACGCTTATCTTTTTCCTAGAAGCCAGATAACCTTCCGTGTTCCAAAAATTCTGTCACGACGGTCATGACCATATTTATAATTGCAAAAATTGAATTGAAAGCGAAATTCTGCCTCTTTTGCGATACGCTTGGCTATTGTGGATCCTTTTGCGTCACGCATGTCAAATCAGAAGCTGAAGAGGTTGAAGATTAGCGCTTTTAGCCAGAGAAGATTAACATAATCAATCAGGTAATTGTGGAAGTTTTGTGGTTTAAGAGGCGGATTACGGAACTAATTTAAGATTTGGAATTTTTCTCACTGAATAAAGTATCTTGAGGTTCACGTACGCGCTTTATTAGTCACAATATTGACAAGAGAAATTCATCTGATGTCATTGGATATTTGTGTACGAAAGGTGATTGTTATACAAAATATATCTTTATAGCCACATTATAAGAAGTGACGAAGAGTAATCTGCGGAAGAGTAGATAAAAATACTGGTTAGAGATTGAATTTGCAGAGGAAATGCTCTCATTGTTTCTTCCTAAAATAATAAACCCTATTTATACGTGCATTATCTCATCACAACATAAAAGCGCCTGAATGACTGAAAGATACTGAAAGCGTGTGCCAAGATAGCGTCTTATCAGTGACGTTTTGGTCACACTTCATCACTTCTAGAATTTCGGCACATTTTATCACTGGAAATGGCCCTCGAAATCTACTACTTGAGATTCTGCAATAATAAAATTTTATCTAAGCAATTCACTTTCCGCTGGATGTGGAAACACCTTTCATCAACCTTCCTTCCGCCAAGCAACAAACAGTAGTTCATTTCTTCATGAGCTTGCAATCTGTCTTACTTGGCAGTCTTGCTGAAAAACTTGCCAATGTGACCTCATAGTATTGTTTTCCTTCTGAAAGTGATCATTTTGCATCACTACTGTGAGTGTAGTGAGATCAGCAGAAATGTGGGAATACGGAGAGTCTGGAAAATTGATTATTTTGCATGTTGGAAAATTCTCTCACGAGGAACACCTGCACTGAGAGAACTTTCCGCGCACCAGAAGATCCCACTGATGCCCAGACTAACATCTGGACGTGCGAAACGGCATTGTTACAGAAGAAATTCGACTCCTACCGCCCACATTGAGTTTCAAATATAATGAATTATATTATATATTGCCTCATGCACTCCATCCCAAAGTGGAGCTGAAAGTGAAGCACTTCTGTATTGCATTTCTCAGCGTCTCCCATGGCTAAGTCATGTTTATTGTCCACTCATTGATTTTTTCTTACACACACTCATTTGCAGTCAAAACTGTCGCCGATCAATGAACGATGGAGTTTCCACCAGCGACGATTTTTGGAGAATTAATCACCCCAGGACGACGGCCGGGGATCAACGGCCCAGATGGGGGCGCCTGGTGGCCGGATTGCAGCCGAAATGATGCTCCATCGCGCGGGTCAGTGACTGGCAGAGAGAGATTGACACAGTCTCCAGAAGTCACATCCCCGCAGTTGGATGCGAAAGAATGATTATTTAATTATGTGCACAAGGCATAGGAAATGCCTGTATTGACTTTGCATTTAATATTATTTTTAAGTCTTAATTATAATCGGATTGCAATAATAATTTCAACTAATAACATATATACGCGTCTCATTGCATACCATTGGAATGATTTTTTACACACTCTACTTGCATTCTCCACAATTGTATCGGTAATTGAGTTTTAATGCTAAAGGGTGTTTCGGACGAATATCATTAGTTGAAAAATATAATTCTTCTCCAACAGGCGAGTGCAAATCATGACGAACACTTCCCTGACGCCACTCAATTGTCCGCAGGTCCGCGTGGGCAATTGTGTGAATTACTTGGCACTCATTGAGCCCAATTTGCGGCAAAGCTACCTGCGAGATGGTGTGGAAGACACCCTGTCCGCCATACACGTCTCAGCCCAAGATACATATGCATATGCCAACGCTGATCGCCGTCGCCTTAATGAGATGTGTTGAGATAAAAAAAGTGGCTCATTAGGATAAACATACGCATGATACTTCATTACATGGTTATTAAAGTTTCCCATTTGCCAAAGGTAAAATGGAAAATTGACCACCGCAGCAACTGTGAAATGATACCACAAATCACGGTTTCTGCTGCCTTGCAATGCTATATTTCTCTCTTGGTTTCTGCTTTTCACCGGCAGCGAAGAGGCTACAAGACGAGTAATATCTGCACTGGCACTCGGATCTGACCGAAATTATTAACACGAAGCCGCGGACTTGTATTTGCATCAATCACAATTAATACAAATTGGGTGGGAAATAGTAGCATTTGGACTGGTGGTGTATCAACATTGCTGATATTCATAATGACAATAATTGCCGCAATTACCGATACATCGCACTGCTACTGACCATCGCTACGGCAATAACGAGATGAAATGACAATACTCGCGGCTCAATCTGGCCCTCGATAGAGACATTTGCCCAGTAATGTTAGACTTTGAGAGAACGCGAGCTCATCTGTCCATCTAACTGTCACATTTAATCAGTGCGAGCAGACTTTTGATAAAGCAATCACATTTTCTGTCATCGACATTTTTTTTCAAACCACGTCGGCATCTTCTCGTTCCTCACAAACCATGTACATACAAATTATTTTAATTATTCGACAACTGCACGCCATCACGGGAGACGCGAAGTGCGGTGACTCAACCAATATATTGTGAGATCCTTTCTTGTAATGCGCGGAATTCAATTCCGATTATCCAGCGTGTGTGTTTCATTTGATATCATACTGTCTCGATGGAATTTACAATGTATACTGTAAAAAATTGAGTAACTCGAGGAAATTCTGTATTATGCATAGGCAAGATATGTAGCAGACACATCGTGCGCCACAGCTTTCGACTAATTATGCACTTGCTCGCGATAGTAATGGTGAGAGCGTACGCAGAGATATGTATTTTGAAGCCATTTTGAGTGCAATTTAGGATCAAAACAATATAATTACGATATTCTAGCATCCCATCTATATGCTAAAACAAATATTTTAAACTCATCTGAGCATGAATCATAGAGAAGTAGTAAATGAGGAAATATAAATTAGCAGCGCGGGATTTTCGGAAGAGCAGAACTAAAAAAAAAACAATTTGTGATTCATACACAAACAGTTGGCATCTCTTCATTGAGAATCAATCTCAATAATCAACGCAGTTGTGAGTGACAATCAGCGTTAAAACTTTGAGTAATTCCACGAAATTGGCCTCTCCTCTAGACATTGAGTATCCATCAAATGGATAGGCTTAAGTTGTTCAATTTTGAAGTGATTACTTTGTTATCAAATAGGAATTCCTTGCATCAAATTATGAAAAATTATGGGTTAACATAGCGGAAAGAATCACTCTCCATTTCCTTCCGAATATGCTGCATGAGGAAGTTAATTTCTTCTCACCTGGCTGCATTGAAAGAATACTCTATCAATCACGAGGGACATTCTTGTGTTGATATCGCGTGGCTGAGACAAGCTTTATCTTGAGCTTTATCGAGGCAAATTCGCATGTCTTGTGAATGGAAATTTCAGGGGAATGTTAGGTACTTAGAAATTTGATTAATTTACTCTTCCGACTAATTGTATTATTTAGCATTTCCGTTTCCGTTCGAATATTTCTGAAAAATCAATTCTAAACTAAACTCTTGGCACAATTTGATTGTGAGTGTGTCAATTAATTGGTTTATGGAACCAAGAGTGCTATTTCTGTCCGATAAATCTGAAACTACGTACAATCAATACAATTCACTCCCCCAACAGAGTCTCAATGCAGAAAATAGAACAAGCAAAGACGAAATATCAAAGCAATTAAAAACACCTTGAATGTCCGGAGAGCTCGATTTTAATGATGTTGCGAGAGGACAAAAATACACCAAGCTCAGGTGGGAAACACGTGTAAAAGATCTCACCCGGAGCCGTCGGAAATAGATGTGTGGATGTTGTGAATGGGGATGGTCGGCTAATTAGGAAGACACCCTCGGACTCGAGAGTGCAGTGGAGCAAATGTGTTGGCGAGTGAGCGTGGGTGCAGCATCTCAGCATTGTTTGCTCAAGATGAATCAATCCTCATGTTCAGGCATTCGAATAAATATATTGTCAAATATGGTAATATCTAAAAATAACTTTAATTCACAATTTCGATGCCGTGAGTGGGCGCAAATTGGGAGGGAGTTCATTTCCGATATTAGTAACACGAGCAGATTCACCTGAAGAATTCTGCACTGATAGATCACGAGTTGTTTTCTCATAGATTTCATTATATAATCGTGAGAAGGAACCATCTTCCTTCGATTTTAATTCACCCTCACCACAATTTCGTCACTCTTAATTGACAATGATTAGCTTAGACGAAATTTCATCAACGCATTTTGACATTTAGTTAATATAGCAGATCGAGCACGTTGCCTGGAATTTTAGAGAGCACGTTTTTCGGCAGTGATTTCTCGCGAAAACGGCCTGAGAGGCTCTCAAAGTCTTTTCATGAATGAACCATGATCTTCTGACTCATCTTTTTGCAAGTGAAATCTTGCGAGAAGCTGTTGAATGAACGTAAACTATTTCCGCTCCATTCAACTGAGCCGATGAAGAGGGAGACCACAACAGATTCAAGAGACCTCCAATGGCTAACAAAATAGCTTTTTCACCCAATATCTCAAATGTTTTTCTCATCGGCTCACCATCGGACGCACAGGTGAGAAAATATCCGTGACAGATTACTAAAATATCGTCAAATTGCATCAGTGATTACGCGATATTGGCAATATTGCAGGGATTCAATCATACTTTGTTAATTCAATTAGAACATTAGTATTTCATTGGGTGACTAATTGTTAAAAATTTATGTCACACCGTATTATCCAGAAATGTAATAAACGTGGGGTTTATTCCGTGTGCATTAGGGGGAGAATTAGCTATGGGAATTTCAGATTTTGTATTTATTTGCGCTCGCCTATTTGTGACATCAATAAACTCTTTTACTTCTCGGACGCATTAGTCACGGCGAAGTGTAGTGTATCTTTAGCACATTCGACGTCATCAATGGTTATCTTGTTTGCATATTTCGAAAAAAAAGTGCTGCCCAAAGCGGCGCCTTCAATTGGCCCTATTTGAGGGCGAGAAATGTCACTATCAAGCTACCGGAAAGGACATGCCAACTGGTGCTTGTAAAAGGCTTTTTCCCACAATTAATTAATTGACCCACCTGGCTTATTAACCAATTGAATTTGGGGGGTCAAAGGCGTCAATCTAATCAGCATAATTAAATAAATAAGCATTTCCCACGAATTTGGGGGATCGCCGTTTCGCGTTGTTTTGCAATTCGATGGAGGAGTGACGAAAGTGTTGTGCCCCCGAAACTGTGTATTTGCTCGACTCTGTGATAATGCGGGCCCTCGCGAAAGTGACAAGGAGAGTGTGAGTGGGCCAACAGAGTGAACCATAAAAGAGCCCAAAATGTGAGCGCAAAAGGCTTCCCGCAAGGCATCACCGAAATAACCAATCGCCGAGCTGAACTCTGCGTGCCCACCTACTATAGTCCAATACACACAATTCCATTCGCAAAGAAATTCACATACTTCGGCCGTCAAGTGTGGTTGTGTGATAAGAGTGATTGATAAAAGAGTGGCACATTCAGGAGCCTCAGCAGAACACTGTAAGCGTCGAAAGGTGCAAGACACACATACAGGACTCCGCGCGCTATATACTTCTCCTCCGCAATTCACACCTGAGTTCCTGTTTGGAGAACACTTATAAATTTCAGCACACATTTCGCATTCTGTGTTAATAGACAAGTGAATTTCGAAGAGTGAACTGAAGAGTGAAAACAGAGAAGCATCACAATCATTGTTAATCCTTCCTGTGACATTATTATTAAAGACTGTTAGTGCACACTTGCTAGGCTATTTCAGAGTTAGACAATTTTACACTTGGAGAAATTTGTGAGTTGTTACAAGAGCAGTAGAATTCCGAACAAAAACAGGTAATTTCAAACATTTTCTTGCATTTGCCAACATTTTATACCCTTTGCTTAAGTTGAATTTTTAGCTTAAAAAGGAAAACGCCCAAAATCATTTTAAAAATGTCAGAACAAGTGACAAATTGAAGAGTTTCTTGTGACTTTTTGCCCACATTTAATATGATAATATGAAATTGGTAATTATTATTTTATGTGCAGACCAGATTCTCAATCTCTGATTCAGTTATGGATGAAAGTTTGCATGAATCAGCGGTTATAAATTGGTAATTAGGGTATTGCTTGATCAATGTAGTATTACAACAAAATATCGATTTTCCGAATTTTAACACTAAATATTTCTTAAGCCTATTCAACTTCAAATATTGTGCTATTCAAGAAATGCACATATAAATTGAAAACCTTCATCCATAACTACGTGTAGATTGAAAATAAAAGCAAACAAATACATTGTGATTCTGAGAAAATCTTCTTAATTTTGTAATTTTCAAAAGATAATGAGAACCTTGATGAAATTGTCACAATTTGTTAGGGGTAACGACGATAAATCAAATACACCCAGTGCTCTATTGATTAATAAATCACATGGAGGCACATTAATCATACAATGAACTTTAAGCATTGATTAACAAATTCAGAGAGTACAAAGCCTATTTTCCGCGTAGGTTAAATCCTGTAATACAGTAATTGCATCTTGCGGAACGCCACCGAATTTAAAAGCTCACTGTAATTGACAAACATCTTGCACGAAATTCTCACTGCGAATTCTTTCTTTGCGTATGTAATGGGCAGATTAGATAAAACGTGGAGTTCCTAGTCAATGGGCAATGATATCATTTTTCCAACTTCTTCAGATTATGCGCACGATAAGTTTTTGAGCTCTTCTCTCCCAGACTAACTGGCTCTATTGTATCCTCTCTCTGGCGTTTTTCCTCATTTTCCAAGAAGTACATTGATAACTGTCAATTTTTGCCATGCTATAAGTGCCGATTGTAATGCAAATTATTCGCTCATCCATTTAATGGGTAGTCAAAGATTTTTCCCCATAAAGCAATTAATCCCTTGCGCTTCACTATTCTCGTATACGAAGAACTTATTATCGGCTCCGAGCGATGGTGTGAAAATGTAAAATCGTCACATGACGTCATATGCCGCTCAAATAAGACAGTCTCACTGGGAAATACGGTTGAAGCGTGGTTGACAACCTGTTGAATGCATCTCATATTGATTTTGGCTTGGGTGGAGACTCTTGGCCGGATGTTCGCCTTGGCGGGAAGTCGGCTGGGTTTCGGTGGAAAATGAGGGGATTTCTCGGGAAAGCGGAGGATGGACGGAGCGGGAAGGGTGGTCCTCGTGGCGCTTGGCGGCGCATTTCCACGTATTGGCCTCGCAAGTATCGCGAACAGGGCCTGAGTCACAGTGAAAAGTGCCTCCGCACACATGCAAAGCCGCTGATATTCGGGGGGTCCTCCCTACACATGTATTTCTGTGCGTGCGAAGAAAGCAGCAAATAGTGTGAGGCCAAATTCGAGGGAGAGAAGATATATGTTGGTCGGCTATGACTGGACTCGGCCTGTGATTCAGCATTTGTACGAAACGAGACAGCATTTACCTTCAGCCACTGACGAGCTCTCGGCACAGCTTCTCAGGCCCGCCAATAGTTTAGTTAGTTGCTGGAAACACTCTGTTACGATCACATCTCAGCTCTCCGGGCTTTTCGCGCGCTCACTCTTCAAGCCGCGCGTTCTCAAGACCATCCGTCTTCGCGACCGCAGAGTGCAAAGTGGCTTTTTATTTGTCATCTTTAAATAAATTCCTCCAATAAATGGATATAATTTTTGCAAAGTGCCTGCAGAGTGTGAAGTTGTGACGATTTTCCTTCGCACGCAATTTGTTGGTGCAGAAATAGTGACTTTTTCTTCACCTCCATCCGCCAAGTGACTATTTCACAAGTTTGCCTAAGACATTGTGTATCCCCAGATGGAAAGTCTCGGGCCATCTTCTCAGTGAAACATTGTGAATCCTGGGTGACATTTAAGTGATCACGAGACTTTTTTGGATTCTCGCCACGCGGGGAATCTCTTTGGGAGACTTAACGACATCATGATGAGAATTCGGTGTGTGTAGAAAATTCTGATTGATGATCTTAAATAAATCGCGGGTGATCTCACTACTTAACCCATTTACCTGCCCCCAAAGCAGCTCAAGCGCGCGATCTTGCCGAAAATCCGACACACGCGACTGTGAATCATAAGTGTCGTCATCTAAGAGAGTCATACTCGCGATCATGTCACAACGCGAATATGAACACCGGACAACATATTTTATCCAGTAATCCACATGAAATTCGCAATTTACCTAAATTTCTTTCACTCCTTTACGCCCCACTCGAATCCTCGATATGTTCTGCTGAGTGTGACAAAATAACTATTCATTGACGAAAGACAAGTATTAATGTGTTCTACTTATATCCGGAAAAATTCAATTCACAAGATCAATTAGTGTCTCAGGGGGCGATATTGATTTGGAGATATGATTCCGATGCCAACGGCCAAGAGAACATTAGCCGACGGATGCCGGTGATCGTGCGCGATTGATATTGGTGAAAATACGCGGATCGCGCAATGCGGTGTGTGAAATGTTTTTCCAACATCAAAACAATATGATTTTCTCCAATTTTTCACTGCCTCACACACCGTCATCCCAGGGGAAATACCATATGTTGTGTAGATCTAATTGAAACAAATTCTCTAGCGATCGCGACACCGCGGCACGAGCTATTATTGTTGTATTTTCTCCATTTGATACTGTTGGTGAGACCAACAATGAATGTGCAATCGTGAGAATTTTCATACATACTCCATAGTGGATTCCCCGAACACTAATACTTGAGCTGCAATTCGCACTAAATACTTCTGTATACAGAATCTCACACGCCGAGAAGGCGTTTATGGGGGATTCGCGCGCCTCAGCCAAACAATCTGCCAAGTGAACTTCTTCGGCACGCGTCTAATCATTATCTCTCCTGTTTCTAGACATGAGGAAGACAGTCTGTACCGTCGTGTTCCTAAGCATCGCTGCATGTTCCTTGGTGTGCGTACGAGCATATCCAACCCCATCCGCCTTGTCCGCCCAGTCCTCCCATAGAGCGGCCTGGATTAACATTTGTGGACAAGACAGACGTCTCAACACCACAACAATACTGAAGGGAAAACAGCAAAAATTGAGCCTCCACAAGGTGAGCAGTTAAACCATCGATTTATTGTCCTTTATTTACAAGAAGGATTTGGCAATACTGTGTAAGACGTCATATCTTGAACCATTTTCAGTCTATCTATGGAAATTTCAATGCAATGGTGCATTTAAAGTAGCATAAAAATATATATTTTGTTCCACTTATGTCTATTGCATTTAAGACTCATTTCTATTATTTTTCAAGTCATTTCGGCCATTAAAATGATGTCTTGTTCATGCATTTTGTGCTTAAAAACTGATTTTGGTTTTGAATACATTTGATGTAAATTAAAGTAGTTTTTGACAGACTTTAGAGTATCTAAGTACTGAAATCAGCCTCATTACCTCAAATTCAAGAGGATTTTTACAGTGATTTAATGGCATTTGTGTGACATTTCGTTTCAGGCTCTCAACAGATCAATCACTCATTATAGAAATAATTTGGCCCACATCAGCCGAAATCTGTGGCACTTACTAAGATTAGACGAGCTGGGGGATGTGCAACCCTACAATTTTCCAGAGTTCCACCGCGCGGTGAGTTTTCCAAATGTCAATATGCTATTCACGTAATATCATGTGACAAATTGCAGTGAATAAGACAATAAGTTTCGCGTTGATCTCGTCTTACGAGAAAAATCATCCGATCATAAATAACCATCGTCAATATGATTTGCTGAAATAGCGCGTGGTGTAGCGACGTGGATATTTCCATGTTACGGAATTTTTGAGCCCTTTGGCAAATCCAATGGAGATGAACAGGTTCGTCTTCTTGTGGGTATCACATGAATTCATCATCGCCGGTCGCTGCAGTCACCAGATTTTGTCGATCTCCCCATCCTTTGCAACATGATATTATTTAAATCTTTTCCTCTAAATTTGATTTATGCACTGCAACTTGTGCGTGATTGATGATGTCAATCTTGATTGATCTTTCAATAAATGTGATCGACTTCTTTTTCTCTCTTCATGTGCAGCCAAAAGCAATACACCAGCGTCTACAAATCTACGTTGCAGTGTTTGATGAGCTGCACGAGAAGGAAAAGGGAAAAACTCAACAATATGAAGAAGATCAGAAGGCGGCGGAAAATCTCAAGAGCTTGCGAATATGCACGCAAAAGCTACTGTGCATGATGGAGGATATGTTCAATGGCACGGACATGCTGAGGATGAAGAACAAGATGAAGCACATCTCCGTAAAAGCTATGCGAGAGAAGCTCGAGATCATCAATAGAGACAAACTTGAAAAATCAATTGTAAGTTTAATTGGATTTGTCATATTTTCGAATTTTCTCACTGACTGAATGCAATTGTTGTCGTTTCAGAAACGCGCTCTCATCGGTATTGGCGACTTCTCAGAGAAATTCCAAGAGTACATTGAGAAGCGTTATCACACATTAAACGCGCAGGTGAACAAGCGACAGGAGACGAGATTGGAGAATTTGCTCAAGAAATGTGGTGGAAAGCCAAAAGGTTGCGATCCAAGGGAGAGGAGAAAAATTAAGAAGTTAAGACAGCAAATAAAGCAAAATAAGAAAGCGTCACAGCAATAGATTGTACATAGGTAAAGTGTCCAATTGCCAGTTGAGTTCACTTAGTTTGCGAGCCTTCAGGCTCGAAGACATTAATTTGCAATTGTGAAAACACCCAAAATTAGTATTATAAGATCATTTTAGAGATCATACTTAATGCAAAACTCATGTTATTCTGATCTTCATCAAATAGTACAATTATTTACGATACTCAAGCACACACAGAAACAGTCAAGGAAAAGATTTGGTTTATCTTGATATATTACACTTTTCTCAAAAGCATCGATTACTATTTAAAAAAAAGTATGTATTGAATGTTAAGAATGCATGAAATTCAGAGAATCACGGCGATTTTCACACTATTTTCCCATATATTTCACTGTAATAGCTTTTCACTGATGCTTCATTGGAATTCCAGTGCGAAAAACTTTGGTAATTCCAGACTTGCAACAATTATCACGTGCAATCCATTGATTCATTTTTCTAAATGCTATTTTCCTCCACATCAACTTGGAGGTGATCCCTTCCCAAATCCACTGGAAAATCTAGCTAGAATACCTCGCATTATTTAAAAAGGTGTGCTTATGAGTATCGGCTTCATTACTGCGTAATGATCACCTACAAATTGTATTTGTGAGTGTTATCAGAGGCAAGAAAACTTTATATTTAAGAGAGATTTGACAATGCGAAGCACTTCGCTTGAAATTGCCACAAAGTTTTTTTCTTAATGCTCTGTGATATAAATTAGATAAAAATTTATATTATGTGCCAAAAAGAATTTTCCTCTTGCCAGATAATGGGAGGAATCTTTGACATTAGACTCTTGTAGGGCATAGAACATGTAAGGCATAAAAGTATAATGACAAGTTGAACCAAAATGTAGAGAGTTGTAGATTTTTACATAATATTGAGATGATTTTAAAGAGATATTTAGACTTGACAAATTCCACAAGTATTATTTACTATTTACATAGTGTATTAAGTGTAAATAGTCTATTTATTTGTCATTTAAACTCTTAATAACATAGTGTCCTCTAGGTTAAGTTTCATTAGATCACCATGAGAAATCCGGTAATTGTACATATTTATGATATTTATTTTTTCGTACTATAATTTATTGCGCCAACAGCATTATATCCCGAAGTATCATTTTTTAGCATTGTGTCTACTTGAACAACTATTATTTCTGTAATAAGATTTTAAATAGAGCAAGCAAATACACTTTTATGGAAAATTGTACAACCCTGTTTCATGTCGTCACACAAACATGATTCGCATAACTTCACTGCTTTTTCGTGTTTCCCCATTTGTTACACTTTGCAACGAGAGATGGCAACAGAGTCCAACACTTTCACTGCCAACTTTGCAGCTCTGAAAGCTCGTCTTGAGTTGTGGTTTGGATGTTTGGAGCTTTTAGCACTTGTGCTATATTTCTTCACTGAAACCATTGTTTTGCCTACCTTCAGTCACAGCTCCAATGGCAATGGAAATCTCCCTTCTGACCACGTTTGTATTCTGCCATGAGAGATCAAATCACGATACTTCGAAGCACATTGGCGTAAATAAGAGAAAACTCTAACTCTGGAAGAATGCTTTTTTATTCTCCTCCAATTTCTCTCACAAATCACTGTTATGTAATGAAGTCTGCACTTGATTTATTATTTAAATGCACAACCTGCACATCGAATTGAACTCTTCGCACTTCTCTCTGTGCAAGGCACATTATAATATTACATAATCCGAAGAGATTCACTGCCAAATTGAACATTGAACTGAAATAGGAATAGAAATATCACAAACAAACCGGAGACACTGAATTAATCCACACTTCTTCAGAAATACTGTGGTAAACTGTCTTGGGGATTTCTCTGAAAGTTTCCTATCAACCAACACGGACTTTCAGCGCAAGCAAACAGTCGATATGGTACTGAGAATGTCGCTATGATAACTCGCGAGAGATAGCCTGGAATCATTCTTTATTGATTAGAGTTCTGCGAATACTGTGATAAGACAGTTCCATTGAAATTGAGAATTTACATGCTACACGTAGGCCTCGTTGAGTTCTTGAATGTACTTAAAATTACATTTTTTTTTAATTTGACTTCACTCCTTAAATCGTGTTTCTACTGTACTGGAAAATTTGCAATATTTACAGGACAATTGCATGTGTAAATAACTGATAAGAAATTTTTTTTCCGATGAAAATTATAATTCCAAGAATACTATTAATTTATTTATTTACCTTTATCTTATCGAGTTTTTATTAGCTGTGTTTCTTTTCCTGACGATTGAAACACTTCACTGATTTGGAGTAGATTGACAACAAAAGCTGTTGAAAAATATCAGGCACACGTGAGAGATCAATGTGCAAATGTGATCGTATTAATGCAAAATCGTATGAGATTTGGAGAACAAGACATTCCCGAGTCAAAATAGAGAGGTTGCCAGACGTGCACCTTTCCAATTTGCCTTATTGTATTCTGATGACTCTCCTTCATTGACTTTATAATGTAGAAGCATCCACGAATATTAGAAACCACAGCAGCGCGTTCCTTTTAACGATCTCCAGCCAATATTATCTGCGAATGACGAAATTTTCGACTCGTCACGATCGTGCAGAGCTTTGGACCGGCTGAGACTGTAGATTTATTAATATTTTTCAGTGAAAGAAAACTGCAATTGCAGACACAATGAAAATTATCAGCATGTGATGCCTTCGACAATATAATAATGATTTCATGTGAAGAGGGAATTGCTCAATGGACTTCACACCGGCAAATGTTCTTAGACAAATCGGCTCTATTCACCCAGTGGAGTGAATTTTGCGATGGTAAGATAGCAATTATTCATCCGTGCATACACTGTAATTAATTTGCCCGTGATCCCGATCAATCACTCAGCGATCGCAAAGGAGTTGCACACATTGATGTGTACTTCGTAAGTAAAGAAAGAAAGAAGTGTGACAACGGAGAAAGCATATTTCTCTCCCCGGAAAAAAACACTGTCAAAAATTCCAAGTCAGGATTACATAAATACAAAATACTTCAAATCTCAAGGAATTTGCATAAAATTCACAAATAACCTAAGCGAATTGAACGTGAGTCGGAGTGGAGGGAAAATTCGATGGTTCAACTGGTCATATTGTGTTTTATAAGCATTTTGAGACGCGGCGCACACAAGATAAATGATCTCACAATCATGAGTAGAGATCGAGATTAGATTTACAGACTCCCCACCCCATGGGAGACCTCAGACGTGTAATTATTGATTGTGAATAAGGAAAATTGCTCAATAAAATGATATATTATCACACAAAACTGTCCAGTATAGATAAATAATGTTCTGCGAAGACTTTCTGTGATCTATTCGAGAATATCGGGAATCGCCGTCAACACTTTTTCATACACTTATCTATGCGATTGAGTGTGACTCTGGTGGGCATGGAAGCAATCAAACACCTTGACAATTTATGGGGTCTCCCAGACAATATAGCGGCACCAAAAGAGAAGTCAGAAGTTAATCGATGTACATGTCGTTCCATTCACACTCTCTCCGCATATCGACTGTAAATTTTCCCCATAGTCAGCTTGGAAGCTCCCAAAAGAATAGAAATTGTGTTTGTATTGAAGCTGGAATAAGTATTTGGATAGTAATTGAAAATGCGGAAAAAGTCAAAAATGTAGAAAATTGAATTTTCACACATTTGCCATGATCACAAATCAGTCGTAAAACTCAAACATGCTCGTGCAAAAAGGGTACATAAACTTTACGACTGACCCAAATCAGTGATTTTCAGATTAAAATTCACTTATCACAAAAACATGAAGTTAATTAAGATTTTCAATTTATTGTGAATGTCGAACAAATGCACAGTCTCAATATCAATTAATTCCCAGATCAATCGCGATTGCGGCGGGTGGGAGTGATCGCCTCCCCTGTGAATGCAAATTCAGGCCGGCGCTCGTGATTTGCTGGGCATGAGCAATAAGAACAGGAGAAGTATGCGGATTGTGCGATACTTCATCAATTTTGATCGCTCAAGCACACAAATTATATCACCACGAGCTGCCGATACCGTCAATTTCGCTTCCTCATTATGTGTTTTGATGTAACTATTTCATTTTATCCATGCCCATCGATAGACGTGTTACGATGCCACACTTCAAAATTTTTATCCACAAACGCGAGTTTTTTTTACCATCTGCCGCACAGTTTTAATGGTGAAGAATTTGTTTGGTTGAAAATCGATGCCTTTTCCCAATATTCACAAACACACCACGTGTTAAATAATCGATTAGCTAATTGTGTTTGTTTATATTCTCATATTTCACTCATGGAAATTAAATTACCTTTTTCTACCCTTTTGCCATCACGATAGAGTGCTTCTTACCGAAAAACGCCAGACTTTTGGATTTGACAAATATTTGAAGAAAGTGTAAAAATGCCATCCGAAATGTCAATGAGACAATATAGATGCTTTTTGTGTGAGGCTTCAGAGGTTAATAACTTCACTTTGATTAATTGGCGCTGATAGATTTTTTCCCGCGAAGACTTCTTCTGGATTCTTTGAACAAATCTATTTTTCATACATCGACCGCTCCTAAATCATTTGTAATTCTATTTCTCTGCAACAACGTGAGAGTCGTAAGAATTCAAGGAATGATAGAATATACAGTGAAAGTATTTGTGAGGTAATTCGCTTGAAACTGAAAGTGAGTAAGTGAAGTTTCCCGGAAATATTTCCATATTTCAAAAGTTTATTTGCAACATCATTGGAAAGTTCTTGGATAATCTGGAATCATGCCATTCGGTGTGAATAAGCGAAATATCGACATATATATTTATTACAGTCTCAATCCAGTTCATCCAAGAACAATGACAAGGAAAACACTGAATAAGTCCGTCCTTTTCCAAGCCAATTTAGTGCAAAATTTGCAACAAACAAACCGAAAATATTTTTATCAGATTTGGGCGAAAAATTAAAATTCACCGCTAAATAATGACGCAAATATTTTTAAAAATGTACCTCTAATCCGTATTCGAATCTGAGAATGATTTGCCAAGAGAGCTCTAAAGAGATTCACCGTATCAGCAGTCTCAGCCAGTAGAAAGTGTTCTCACGCTCAATTGTATGTAAATTCACTGAGAGAGAGAGAGACTCTCAGTGAAATGTGCTCGAGCCGCTCAAACATCGCCAAAACAGAGAGGAGAGCGCAAGAGAGACAGAGAGTTGAGAGAGTGGGAGAGAATCGCGTCTAAGAAGTAAACAGTTGAGGTCTGTTTGGATTTTTCCCAACAGTTAGTTGCAGCTGTGCTTTCATGGCGACCTGTTGAGCGCTGTGGCCACACGCTTTCTTGCCAATTTCGCCAAGTAAATGTGCTTTCGTATCGCCACTGAATATTTGCCCGTGTTCAGCTCTGACTCTCAAACTAGAATGAAGTGTTCTGTGGTCTTGCTTCTCACCTTCTTGCTGGTGATCAATGGGATTAGCGGAGTGCCAACACGTCAAAAGGAGGCCGAGACTAAAGAGACATCCTCTGCCGATGCCTCGACAAATGTCGGTGAGTCTTTTGGTTTCGAATTTGCCGATTGTGCGTTGGAAATGGCCAGGAAACAAGTGGCTTTTACATAACTTTCTTCGTATAGTGTTTTAGCGTCGTGAAAAAAATAGTTTGTTTATTCAGTGTATAAATTTGAATTGGATTTAAATGGTTTTTCGGCTTTGGGCGGATAATCGCGCCCCAAAAAATTACAGTAAAGACGGCGAAAATAAGTTGATGAAAGCAGGAAACCACCGCTGGTCTTATGGATTTTCCTTCCCGCTTTTTCAGTAATTATTCTTACAGTTGCGATTATATTAGATAATTTTGGAATTAGACCCACCAACGGTTACGCAACGGAGTCCATGCACTTTGATTGAATGAGTCGTAAGATTGAGACGTGCTTGATTGGTTTATTGGCTGCAATTTCTTGACTGGTCAATGCGAAAAAATATCCACTGCTACCTTGTACTTTAGGCATGCTCTCTTGAACCAACAACTATTAAGTAATTTCTTTGTTTATCGCCACTCGCATTATCGACTCAGATTTTGCTCATTTCTTCATTACTTCGTGGGTAATTTCTAAGACCTTCATTAAATCAAATTGAGAGTATCGCAGAGTCTCACCTTCCTGGAAAATTTCTCTCATCTCTCTTGCAAAATTGTGGGATCCCATCCCACAATTGACTACCAATTTGCTACTCTGCTGAGGCATGTTCTTAAGATAACAGTGCATCCACTTCTGGTCTTTGTGACCTTCGGTGAACGCAAATTAGATCACGGGTTGGAACACTGCAAATTGCAAGTTAATGCACGCCAGACGCCTCTCAACACTCGAAGGCGCCTTTATCGCGCACAAAAAGCTTTGTGTGTCCAATTGGAATTATTGCCATTTCTTTGAATAGTAATGTTACTACTTCATTGAGCTTTTTCCCATGAGCTCAATATATAGAATTGCCTCCGCAATTGGAAATGTCACACGAAATCGAAACAAGTAAATTGACCTCTTTGGTGTCTCACAGCGAATTCCATGTGAATAACATAAAAGCCACCCGCACGATATCTAAATTAAATAAAATTAATGTGACTCATAAATAGTTACAGTCAAACTCACTGCTCAATACCAGCAATTCAATTGGCAAGGCATTATATGAAATCAGTATAAATTTATTTCCCGTCTCCATCAATCTATTGGCAAAGACCAGAAGTATAGCGCTGGACTCTCCATGCTGGCTACTATAAAAGTTGATTAACCGCCTTCATTGCCATCGAGAACTTATAACTGTTAAATAAGTCACAGACAACGGATAATACCTGAAATAATGCAAGCCGAGGTGCGTGCTTCCACCCACTGAACGCCACGTCACTTTGGAGCATTTTCCCAGAATCCGAGCCCGCGGCTTTTCAGCATTTTGCAGTTCATCCTCAGCCAGCGTTTCGGCATGACGGAGCAGCAAATCCAGTGGCTCGGCTTGTCTTCAATCGATATGCATTGCGCAACCACTTATGGACTCTAAATGAAGCGAGTGATTATTTGAAAGACAACCAGCAAATAGCTGTGCAACTTCGCCCCAAAGTGTATTTCCTCTTCCGAAAATTTGTACTACATCAACTCATTGAGCATTAATTTTCCCCTCGATGGATCTTACATCTACGCCCGTTGAATTATCATTTACATAATCATAAATAGAGGGAAACATTATACAATCGATTATAATGTAAATTAATGACGATTCTTGCTAATATTTAGGGACTTTTGCGTACATAATCAGCACTTTTCTACTCTGCGGTTTTTAATTATGTCTCAACTTTCGATTTTGAACCCTCCGCTGAGATTTTGTGCGGTAATAGAAATTGAAATTGATTTCTGTGGTTAATGCACTGGGAGAAATGCTGCGAATTATGTGAAACGGTGTAAAAAATAACCCCAAAAGTAACCCTTTCCTAATTACATTTTTTTAAATTTCTAACTTTAAATTGCATGTGTTTGGTAAGGAAGGCAAAGTGAACAATAAAACGTAGGAAAAAGGAGACTCTAAACACCTGTTGATTGCTGGTGAGGGTGAAAGTGAATGTATATACTTAACACTCACTTAGGAAGCATTTGTTTAATATGTTGGCGCGTAATTTCTCTGATTACTTGCATTGTCAGCGAAATGACTGTGAGAAAATGTGTGTGGGTGGAAAAATCGTCGCATTTTCCTCATCATTAATCTATGTCTGCACATGTCTCGGTGAATGACTCAATTAAGAGAGAAAAATTTGACGGTATTGATGAAGGCTTGGGCAGAAAATGCATTCCGAATGCAAGAGCAGGCGAATATAGAATAGGAGAGGCACGACATGAGATCAATATCAATGATTTGCATACACGAAATCACCATTGATCTGTGGTGTGTGTGTGTGTGTGTGTGTGCGGAAAATTGCGAAAAATGGAGCAATACTGCAAAAGGCAACCCATATAATAATCACAAATAATTGATATTGTGGCTCAACTGCAATAGGAATGGGAGATCAATTTGAGTGCTGGCTGGAACTCACATGGCCCTGATGGCATGCACGTGAGTGGTCGATAAATTATTCATTACGCAAAAGAACATCGTGGCATGTCTCTTTTTTCGATCTCCAGCCATTGCTGGCAAAGGAGCACCTTCGCATTATTTACCCTTGGACTGGTAGAGAGACAAAGTGGAACTCCTCAATTACCATGATGTCTATTGTTTGTGAAAATCACACATAATCTCTCGCGCATTCGACATTTGCAATTTTTGACTTGTGCGTTTCTCGATGCATCACTGCAAGCGGCAATTGAGTGGGTTTCTGCATTGGCAAAATGTGTGATTTAGAATCTGGAGCATCTGGTGTGTGACACAATAATGACATTTTAACGATGCACAGGATTTGAAAATGATCCTCTCACCTTAATGCTCAATCGTGCACCTTTTACATCCAAACCACTCAAACTGTATACGAAGTCTTGTTGCTGCAATCGAGAAGAAATAAACATCTTCGAGAGGCACGAAAAAGCCACCATGGAAATGTACTTTTCGAATGGATATTGAACTTTTGGTGTGCCAGTGAAATATCATCGATTGACTGAAAATTCGCAATTGTTGTGTAGTAAACTATGAGAACCAAGGAATATCAAACATTAAATACAAGGTTATGCCAGCTAACGTAATCCACGCCGCAATACCTGGATATTTCTCTCGATTTTGGCTTGGAGAAAACACCATTGGAGTTTCAAAAGAAGCACTGAAAACTCGTATCCTCAATTAGGTCAGTTGCTGGAGTGTTAAAAACTACCTCCTCATTTCTGCTGCTTTTTTTATAGATTTCAGAACATTGAGATGTATTTAATACTACTGACTGTAGGCAGAAAAAAGAGATTGTCACGACAGATCTCACACGTCGAGCTATCTTCCAAGTGAGACACAGTTTCGTTGTCAGGGATAAATGGTGCTTAAAATAACACATGGCTAAATTGTTTATGAGATGCAATGTCCATGCCCAAGAGTTGAATAATTTAGAAAGAATGACTGAGAGAACGCACAAAATGAATCCACCGAAAACCTTGACGTCCGCTTTATGGATCGCATTTAAGATCGGCCGCGGAATGCAAAATCCAGAAGCTCGTGAAACATCAAGAATAGACATGGGTGGTTTAGTACACCATTTAAAGCGCATTAACATATGAATTGTGTGTAATAAATTGTTGACATCAGCAAACGGATAAATCATTCTGTATAATTCACAGAAGAGACCCTTTCTAAGAGATTGTCCACTTTTGCCGGTAAGAAATGTATTCAAATGAATTCTCGAGCATTGAGAGAAATGCTCGTTAAATGACTAATTTGTAAATCAAAGTACCAAGACCTTTAGAAAGGTGTTCTTTTTCCAAAAGTCACACAAACATTCGACTGTTCTATGAAGCTATGTAAATTACTTATGTATGCACAAGCATTGCATTGTTTCTTTCATTCATATTAGCTACACATACTCTAAATAAATGATAATTCTGCGCCGCGCAGATCCGTTTCACTCTATCACATATATTTTCAACAAATGATAAAATCTTTGACTGATCGTTTTGCTCGAACGGCAGTCAAAATAATCATATTTTCAGTGATCAATCAAATTGTGTGACAAAAACCTTTCCAGGATATTGCTTGGCTAATGACAAAAATGCGAATTTCACATGTTAAATCACGCAAATTGATAGTTCCTGCAAATGATTGCTCATTGTGTGGGAAAATTAAATTCAGCACAAGTCTGCAAAATTGTTTCAATTATCTCAAATTGCCTGTCTTCATCTTGGCATTAGGAATAAAATGTGAAATATGACTTTAGACACAAATTGAGCACTGTTTTTTAGGCATCAAACGCTTTTCAAATAATCTCGTTACTGCAATCTCTGCATAGATTCGCCCATATTCATGCTCTTTCCCTGGCATTACAATGTTAATAGCAAATGTACAGCATGTTGCTCAGTAGTGTTGAGGGAGTGCTGGGCGATGCATTTATGCTCTCTCTCTCTCACTCTCTTGATCGCCAAAGTCGGGAGATGTGGAAGACGAGAGAGATCACATATAGATATATGATTCATTGTAACACTGACATTTGCCTAGTGCAGGGCAGGAACATTCCTGAACCAGTGTCATGTCGCAAAATGTGTGGCAATTGAATTTATGCCACAGCGCCATGCAAAAAAGATCAACGTGGAGATTTCCGAATTCATACACAGCCGATCACATGAGATTATTTCACTCCTCTCTGTGAACTATTGAATTTCATGATGAATACGATTTTGGGTGATATTCGGTGGTGCTTTTTTGTGTGGCTGATCCGCGCGTTTTTGCTCATGTTGGCACACTTGTACAATACGGACAAACCCCAAGAATGGTATTAGTAATTAATTATACATTAAATTGGGCTGCACCTACAACAAGGAATTAATGCCTTTGCTGATTTTTAGGCACAGTTTCACAAATATGACTCGCACTTATTGATTGATTGGAGTT